TCAAGGCCACGAACACGATACCTCTAGGTTGAACTCTTAATTATCACAGATGAGAACTAGAGCTAGGAACAGAGTGACTAAAACTTAGGCTTCCATCGAGATGAACTCAGCTACCGGTACTTACAGGATTAATCACCACAATAGACCAGCTTTACTAAATGATACACAATGGTGAGTTGAACCTATTACTTCATCGAGTTCCTACGTACCTATTGGGGCAGTTGTAAAGGAATTAAGACACTAGTATTACTAATCGTTAAGTAGCTGTCGCATGGATTGTTTGGCAGCTTTCAAAGCTTTCCTCTCCAATGTGAGTCCTATTACGCCGTACCATAAGCAGAAAGCCATCACAACCGTCAAAGTGAACCTACAAAAAAACTATATTGTCAAATTAAATAAGAGAATTCATGGAGCTATTCAGGAACGAAAAAATAATATAAAAGGGGAATCAGTGAGATGTTTACGATGAAATGGCTTCTCAGCATAACGTATATTGTAACGTCTACATCGTTCTGCCTGCCAGAGTAAGGTCAGCTCTCAAATCATAACGATCGAATAGCATTAAATACATATTGATCATTCGAATCGTCCGACACGTCCGAATTAGATGATCGATACGTATCGTTACGATCGGGCAACCAACTATAAAAAGTGCCCCAACTGAGGATCAGAGCCTTCCTCTTCGAAATAGTAACGAAGTTGCCCTTAAAGCCAACGCCTTTCCAGCCACTTACGAGTTTTACTTTGTTACCATTGAGTTGAATACAATAAACATTTGTCTTGCAATGGGAGAAAACCATTTCAACTCACCTAAACACTGAAAGGAGCAAAGAAAGAAATGGGAAGATGTTATCCAGGAATAGAGATAGAATTATAGTAACGAATATGAATATTGCACTGCAGACAAACCACGTTCGGTCGGAACGTGCTCGCCGCTGTCCACCCGATACGATTCCTATCGCCTCAATGAGCAATGGCCGATTCGGCTCCCATTCGCATGCCAACTGAAAGATTTCAAATTTATTGCTATCGTTTCTGCCAGCTGGAAATGGAAGTGAAATTCTCGACTGGAACTCACTCATCTTTGGTCATGTCGATTTACCAACAAATGGCATTCAGTTACCTGCATTTTGGATAGGATCAAAAGTCGTTTCAAAAATCAAAGCCTTTCCAAATTCAGGAAGCTGTGTAAGAAATTAACATTGGTAGTTAGCTTGGATGCCTACCTGATAGATTATGATTATGATTATGATTTATTATCGGTATTGATACAATCAACAAAACAGAACATAATTAATAACAGGTAACCGATAGAGCAAGCGAAGAGAGAAAAAAATTGAATAAAATCGAGACTCAAAATGGCTCAGAAGGGGTGGAGAAGGGAAAGGGAGGAGGTGGGACGCTTGGCTTCGAAGAGCAGTGGCCCGCCAACACTGCAAGTCGCAAGGGTGATATGCGGCTCCGGATAAAAGCTTAGTAGGCCCGTCAACTCTGCCAAGGTCCACCTGATGACGACGGGGTTAAATAATTAAAAAAGTTAAGAACG